ACCTCTGCCGCGTCCGGATCTGTCTCCATCCTTGTGAACGCTTCGTCGACAACTCCTGCCCGTCGAAGGAAGTTGTGTATACCCATCGTGGCTAGGACAACAGCAGTTTGCATTTTGAAATTATAACTGGGCATACGATCGAGTATTTTCCACCGAAATTTCCACACACCAAAGGCACGCTCAATAACGTTTCTGCACGACGAATGCCTGAAATTAAATCTCTCACGTGCGTTGCGAAAGTTTCGTCTACGACCCGTCTCACCGTCGTAGAACTGCTGAAAATGATACAGTATATCAGAACCCTTGTATGGAGCCATGTACCCAGGTCTATGGGCGAATCCTGAGTCGACAAGATAAAATTTTCCCGGGGCAGGATGGGGAAAATCAATTTCAGGACTATGTATAGACCGAGCCAACATGCGTGAATCATGCGTTGTTCCCGTCCACCCTGCATGCACAAATGTGAAACATAAATTAAAATCACATGCTGCCAGAACATTTTGTGTTGGAATGCCCTTGCGTCCGATGAAATTTACTCGTTCGTCCCGCGGCAAGATAGCTTGCACGTGCGTTCCGTCAATTGCACCTATGCAATTCTCGAATAGCGGATGCTGGTTCAAATTTGGTACGTGATGCTCCGCATCGTGATTATAGTTTGGATCAGGTCTAACGAGGCGTATAGCAAATTCGCATGCGGCATCAAGCACAATTTTGAAATAGTGCCCAATAGTTTGCAAAGAATGATTGAACAAAGTTCGAACCTGTCTGTAGGCCTTTCCATGGGCTAATATGCATAAAAACATTCCAACTTGTTCATACACATCAACTTGCTGGCCACTACACAGTCCATATTCGTCACGGAGTATATGAGTGAACGTACTCAGCATGGCAGGATACATCCTGAATTCTGCATAACACTGTTCGGGATTACATTGCATGGCATCTAGCATAAACATGTGTCCGTTCCTCGCGAAGGGAAATCTTTTAATTCGACGTCTCTGTTCGCGATAGTAAGTTGCCACATCTATAAAGGACATTCTGCAGTAGCGAAACCACTCGATGATGTCCTCTTCGAGCTCTTGCAGAAGTTCCTCATCCCCGATCTCATCTTCACATTCAGAGGACGGCAGAAGCACACAGTTGAAATTGAAATTCGCCATTTTCACTCAGTAATTGCAAAAGAAGCACTGAAAAAAAAACCCAAGCTACGTTCCTTGGAAGTTCAAGTTTTTTGTGAGAATGGAAGGGATTGGTTGCACTTTCTCTTTAATAGACGTTGCTCCACGGATTACTGTCATTAGTACAAATTAAAATGGACATTGGCAGGAAGAAAAGCTCATGAAAAAAAAAAGATTCTTAACTCAATTGATGGTCAGTGTACTAACTGTGGGTCATTGTTTGAATAGGACCCTTGGAATGAATTAATGTTCAGGCACGTATAGTAATTGGCATGCAATGGCAACAGGTACATAATCTTTTGAAAGTGACATGAAATATTTCATTGCAGTTGTGGATTCGTGAGATCACTTAGTAGTAAAGTCCCATTTTTGTTCACATAGACATGCCGAAACGAAAATGTAAAAACAACACACAATTAAAAATGTCTACATAAAACTGCTGTAAGGGGAAAATTTTCCGTGCCGCAGATTTCACTTCGGATGAGCCTTTCTGTGCTCCAGCCAGCTCCACTCGACCCAGTCCAGTTTGTCGTTCGCGTCTTCCTACATTGCAAGTATCTCCCTATTACGCCTCAGTGACAGGAAGCTCAACGTCCAGAAGTACATATCAGTTTTCTTGTGCAGTCGGCCAGTCGACAACATCTCGTTCATGAGCATTTGCGCGTCTGGAACATTAGGACCCAGCAAATTGTTGATTGTAGCTGCTACCTTTTCACTGGCAGTGGAAGCACGGTTAACAGCGTTCGATACATCCGAGGTGGACATTTTTGCTCTCTTACCTTTTTTGCTATTGCCGCCAGACCTACGTTTATCCCCACTTTGCGGCCTCGACATGTCCGCACTGGATCCAGCCAATTTTGTTTTCTCGCTCTCATCACTTGACCCGATGCCTTCCTCGTCAAGCGGTTGACTGTCGTGTAGGTCCTCGAGTCCACTATCTTCGAACATGGAGAAGCCTGTCCTGCACATTGTTGAGGGTGTGACTGCATACTTATCATTGTCATATGCATCCCCGAATAGCACCTTGAGGCTGTACACCTCCTTGCAGTCTTTGCCTTTGAATTCTTTGTAGTCCTTATTTTCCTGTTACACATGCAGAAGAAGTTGAACATCAAAATGCTTCAAAACAGCAATGGTTTCAACATAGCATAGAACCTTGTGTAGGCAAAATTTGAAAAATAAACTGTGTTGTGCATATCGAAAGTAATAGTCAGTAAGTCACCTTGAGTGTTGGAAGAAACAGAGCCCCATGCCTCAAAGCCATTCAATAGTCACTTGAAATTGAAATTACAAGTCTGAGGAGACAAATCAATAGTTTTTCATGTTGGTGATTTATAATAAAGAAACGTCATCCCATGTGTATACAGCTGGAATCTTAAGAATAAAACTGACTATTTTCCTGATCTTATGAGGCGATCGATTCTCTTTTTTTCCCTCTTGAATGTGCTATTTATCCCGTATGGGGCCAATATATTTAGGATTTCTGACTGTAAACACAGCCTAATTACACAACATTTCTAGTGAAACTCACCTAATTACTCCAAAGTCTTGGATTTGGATTACTGATATATATTGAACACAGACGACAATATTTACGAGGGCCAAACACGCATAAGGACAGCATATCATGTCTCCTTCTTCAAGATCTAACAGTTTTACTTTTTTCGCACTATTTTCATGATTAAATTCCAATCATTGAACCTAAAAATTTAAGAAAATCCCTTGGCAAGTCTATGCAAAAAGAATGAATATTAGGATCCTGAGAACTATGAAGATGCTGACTGGAGAGGGTCCATAGTGAATAGAAAATCAATAGCAGGACATTGCACGAGTTTCCCAGTTTGAAAGCAATTCAATTTGTAAAATGCAAAAAATGACCATATTAAGCAGTGTACCTTCATGTTTCTCTCCCACCAGTCGTCGGAAGCAGCAATATATCCCGTTTTGGAGATGTACTCCACTCCAGTATTGTGAATAAGCTCCATCAGACGTTTGTGTTTCGTTCGAAGACCATCCCAATGATTCTTCAGCTGCTGCTTCATCCAACAGTGACCGGAGTTCGAATTGAACAAACGGATGAGTTGGTCCCATCCGTGTTTCGTGAAACACTTTCCGTTACGGTGACCGTCGGCTATCACCGTCTCGCACGCAGCAATGAAAATCCGGTTCTCATGTGGATTCCATTGGGCGTGCTTGCGCGTTGGTGGTACTGGTTGGGTCATGCTGGGAAAAGGGTTGGAGGAGTACGAATTTACGTTTCCACCCGTCCGTGACAAGAAACGGCGAAGACGAGTTCGTTAAATAAGTTGGGTTCAGTTCAAAATTGTGTGTTCTGTAGGTGCAATAACAAATTTGGAACTGAAAACACTTACTGAGGGGACATATGGGTCCATGTTGTGAGCTCACAAGCTGTATTCCGGCAAGCAGGTTCGTCGTCGTCTACCGCCTAACACGAGTCCGTATTTGACGGGGGAAAAAAATTCTCAGACAATAGGATTTGACGGGGAAAAAATTCCTTCTTTGTGCTGCCAGAGCGCTAATTGAAGGAAAAGAATATTTACGACTAGATCTGGAAGTTCTTCATCGGGTGTTTGTAGGGAGAGAAATATGCGAAATGTGAGGTGCCGGTGCAAGGAAAAGGAGGAGAGAATCTTGGCAGTTGAGAGTGTGTAATGACGGGGGTAATATTGGAAAAATGAGAGTAAATGGCCTGTTGTTGTACTGCAAAAAAAATTCCTTCTTTGTGCTGCCAGAGCGCTAATTGAAGGAAAAAAATATTTACGACTAGATCTGGAAGTTCTTCATCGGGTGTTTGTAGGGAGAGAAATATGCGAAATGTGAGGTGCCGGTGCAAGGAAAAGGAGGAGAGAATCTTGGCAGTTGAGAGTGTGTAATGACGAGGGTAATATTGGAAAAATGAGAGTAAATGGCCTGTTGTTGTACTGCAAAGATGTCAGAATATTTCCATTAAAAAATTGTCCAACAGTGCAATTTTTGATCAGCAACGGTCCAAATTCAGCTTAAAATCACAGCCAGACAGGGCCTTAATTCTAGGGCTTAGAAGTGGACTAATATAAAATCTTTATCTTTCTAATTTTTTTCAATTTCGAATCCGATATCTAATAACATAACAGATCAAATATGGATTTAACAATCAAATATCCGTTGAATTATCATATCACAGATAATTATTCTCAATAGATCGGATCGAATTTGGGTATATTCGATCTATTTACAACTCTCGTAATAACTTGATAACGAAGAATGGAAACAGGAACCATAAAGAAAAAGGGATCCAAGAAGAACAAATTAGGCCAAGAGGAAATCAATTTATCCATATATTAAAGTTTCTAAAAACTAAAACCTAAGCACCTTTATATAGGGTTTAAGCCCCGTTTGGTACCCCTTTTTTTAAATGTATTTTTCTCTATTCTTTTCAACCACATATTCTTTATTAAAATAATATTACACGTAAATAAAAAAAATTCCTTATTTTTCAACCACGCATCTCCCGTCAATTTACTATTCAAAAATGCATTTTTACATAAAAATATCTCTCAAACACCCTCTAAATCTATCAATGGCCATTCAACTTTATAATTAGTGTCACCATGGTCACTCAATTTGATTTTGTTTCACCATCGTCACCCAAATTTATATTTAGTATAATCGAGGCCACTTAATTTGATTTCATTTCGCTATGATCACTCAATTTCATATATTATAAAAGGGGTAAATCGATAACTTTGAATTATACCAAAAAAAAATTAAAAATAAAATAAAAACTTATTTAAAAAATAAAATAAAATAAAGACTTAGTTAAAAAACACTATTTAAAAAATAACATAAAATAAAATAAAAACGTATTTCTAAAAAAATTACTTAAAAAATAAATTACAACTTATTTAAAATATAATTTTAAAATAAAATAAAAAATTATCTAAAAAAACATTTTTAAAATATATACTTAGAAAAATAAAATAAAATAAACAGTTATTATTATTATTTTTTAAAAAGGCTCCATAAAAAAATGAAAATTAATTTTAATAAAACATTTTCAAAATAAATAAAAACTTATTTTTAAAAAATGTTACTTAGAAAAATAAAATAAAAACTTATTTAAGAAAAAATTCTTAAAATAAAAAAAAAATTATTTCGTTTATTTATTTATTTTATATACAATACAAAGTTATTATTTTACCATGACCACCCAAATTTATATTTAGTATCATCAAGGCCACTTAATTTGATTTTATTTCGCTATGACCACTCAATTTCATATATTATAGAAGGGGTAAAACGATAACTTCAAATTATATCCAAAAAAAAAAAATTTAAAATTTTTAAAAAAATAATATATTTAAAAAATAAAATAAAATAAAAACGTATTTTTAAAAAAAGTTACTTAAAAAATAAATTACAACTTATTTAAAAAATAATTTTAAAATAAAATAGAAAATTATCCAATTTTTTTTTTAAAAAAATATATACTTAGAAAAATAAAATAAAATAAACAGTTTTTTTTTTAAAAGGCTCCTTAAAAAAATGAAACTTAATTTCAATAAAATGTTTTTAAAATAAATAAAAACTTATTTTTAAAAAATGTTACTTAGAAAAATAAAATAAAAACTTATTTAAGAAAAAGTTCTTCAAATAAAAAAAGTTTCGTTTTTTAATTTATTTTATATACAATACAAAATTATCATTTTTCCTTCTTTGTGTTGCCAGAGCGCTAATTGAAGGAAAAAAATATTTACGACTAGATCTGGAAGTTCTTCATCGGGTGTTTGTAGGGAGAGAAATATGCGAAATGTGAGGTGCCGGTGCAAGGAAAAGGAGGAGAGAATCTTGGCAGTTGAGAGTGTGTAATGACGAGGGTAATATTGGAAAAATGAGAGTAAATGGCCTGTTGTTGTACTGCAAAGATGTCAGAATATTTCCATTAAAAAATTGTCCAACGGTGCAATTTTTGATCAGCAACGGTCCAAATTCAGCTTAAAATCACAGCCAGACAGGGCCATAGTTAGAAATTCAGTGCTCAAAGAATTGGATTTCTTCAAGTGAAAGGTAGCTTCCAACTTCCAAGAATGACAGAGATTCATATGAGTTAAGGTTACTCCATTGTTAAGGTTGGCCCTATACCCCACCTCACCCACCCCCTAAAAGCTAAATAAAAATTTAAAAAGAGGGAATCTTTCCATATTAAGATGGGCTATACCAAAGTTTTATCTTCATTTTTTTATATAAAATCTTTATCTTTCTAATTTTTTTCAATTTCGAATCCGATATCTAATAACATAACAGATCAAATATGGATTTAACAATCAAATATCCGTTGAATTATCATATCACAGATAATTATTCTCAATAGATCGGATCGAATTTGGGTATATTCGATCTATTTACAACTCTTGTAATAACTTGATAACGAAGAATGGAAACAGGAACCATAAAGAAAAAGGGATCCAAGAAGAACAAATTAGGCCAAGAGGAAATCAATTTATCCATATATTAAAGTTTCTAAAAACTAAAACCTAAGTACCTTTATATAGGGTTTAAGCCCCGTTTGGTACCCCTTTTTTTAAATGTATTTTTCTCTATTCTTTTCAACCACATATTCTTTATTAAAATAATATTACACGTAAATAAAAAAAATTCCTTATTTTTCAACCACGCATCTCCCATCAATTTACTATTCAAAAATGCATTTTTACATAAAAATATCTCTCAAACACCCTCTAAATCTATCGATGGCCATTCAACTTTATAATTAGTGTCATCATGGTCACTCAATTTGATTTTGTTTCACCATCGTCACCCAAATTTATATTTAGTATAATCAAGGCCACTTAATTTGATTTCATTTCGCTATGATCACTCAATTTCATATATTATAAAAGGGGTAAATCGATAACTCTGAATTATACCAAAAAAAAATTAAAAATAAAATAAAAACTTATTTAAAAAATAAAATAAAATAAAGACTTAGTTAAAAAACACTATTTAAAAAATAACATAAAATAAAATAAAAACGTATTTCTAAAAAAATTACTTAAAAAATAAATTACAACTTATTTAAAATATAATTTTAAAATAAAATAAAAAATTATCTAAAAAAACATTTTTAAAATATATACTTAGAAAAATAAAATAAAATAAACAGTTATTATTATTATTTTTTAAAAAGGCTCCATAAAAAAATGAAAATTAATTTTAATAAAACATTTTCAAAATAAATAAAAACTTATTTTTAAAAAATGTTACTTAGAAAAATAAAATAAAAACTTATTTAAGAAAAAATTCTTAAAATAAAAAAAAATTTATTTCGTTTATTTATTTATTTTATATACAATACAAAGTTATTATTTTACCATGACCACCCAAATTTATATTTAGTATCATCAAGGCCACTTAATTTGATTTTATTTCGCTATGACCACTCAATTTCATATATTATAGAAGGGGTAAAACGATAACTTCAAATTATATCCAAAAAAAAAAAATTTAAAATTTTTAAAAAAATAATATATTTAAAAAATAAAATAAAATAAAAACGTATTTTTAAAAAAAGTTACTTAAAAAATAAATTACAACTTATTTAAAAAATAATTTTAAAATAAAATAGAAAATTATCCAATTTTTTTTTTAAAAAAATATATACTTAGAAAAATAAAATAAAATAAACAGTTTTTTTTTTAAAAGGCTCCTTAAAAAAATGAAACTTAATTTCAATAAAATGTTTTTAAAATAAATAAAAACTTATTTTTAAAAAATGTTACTTAGAAAAATAAAATAAAAACTTATTTAAGAAAAAGTTCTTCAAATAAAAAAAGTTTCGTTTTTTAATTTATTTTATATACAATACAAAATTATCATTTTATCCTTTTTAAATTTAGTGAAAATAGTGAAAAGAATTTGGGTGGTTATAGTGAAACGTTTATAACATTGGACGGCCGAAGTGAAATAAAATCAAATTAGATAACCATGGGGATACTGAATGTAGAGTTGGATGACTGTGTTGAAACAAAATCAAATTGAATGGTCATCGTGACACTAAGTATAAAATTGAGTGGCTAATGATATATTTAACACTTTACATAGAGAAAGCACTTCCAAAACTTCTGATCTAAACAAACTTGCAATGAAAAATAACATTGATAATATTGAACTAGATAAAACTACTAAAATCTAGATAAAACTCAAATTCTACTTTCAAATATTTTCCTTCAGTAGACTTGTAGACGTTTCGTGCTGCATCAGGAAGGAAGACAGCAATAAACAAAGACGAATATAAACAAACTAGAAGTCCCTAAAAGAAGTTGAACAATGGGGTTCTGATAAGCGACAACTAACCAGATTATTCAAAGAATCACTAATCATACTTTACAAAACAATCATAAACTCAAAATTGACACTAAAAGCATAGAACTTATTAACAAAATTACTTTTCTTTTCTCCCGAAATTGAAAACAACAAATGAATTGGTCAATTTCAGACATTCATATCTTCAACTGATAAAATAACAAATCCAAATAAAGACCAACGAAAACTAAACAAATTTGCCAGATTTAGAAATACTAAGTTCAAAGAATCTTGTTAATCTTAAAATCATATGTAGAATTTCCAATCAGAAAAGAAAAATCCACAGAATCCAAACAAATAGCAAAAAAATAAAAATCTTCTGGGGTGAAGCAAAAAATTACATCCCATTGCTCCGATAACCAATAGTAAGTCATATGGCAATTTTGGCTGTTGTTAAAAGTAAATATACCGTAAAAAAAAAGTGAATTTTGAGCACTACCAAACATTCTCAGCTGAAAACAGATAGAGCACTAAAAAAACCAAGCGAGAATTTCCACAGATAGAACAAAATTACCAAAAAATAAACTGACAAAGAAAAAATTGAATCTTTAATGTAAAATTGAGGATTAACCAGAATTCTTGCAAAGGGCTCGGCCTCCGAACCGTACGTGGCACGAGTTTCTGCCTCATACAGCTCGGGCCGAACACCGGGGGAAGTTTAGGAGAGATGGGGCAAGCTAGCAGCTGCCGGTCGGGACGGGGATAGCTTGCTTCTTCACAAGCTTATCCCCCAATTTAATGTAAAATTGAGGATTAACCAGAATTCTCACAAAGGACATCTTTTCTGGGCGAAGAAGGAGCAGAACCATAACACAAAATGGCTCGTGCGATCATAGAAAGGCTCGAAACCATTCCAACAAAGTAAAGTAACATAACCAATCCAAGAACCCAAGGCATCAACATAAACCCAATAAAAAATGTCACCGATCCACACAGCATTAAAGACAAAGAAATCCCAAGAAGCAGAGATGCAAATCCAGCCGGCGTAATCTGTTGCATCACCGGCTCACTCCTCAACGGAGGACGGCGGCGGGGTTGGATCTCATCGGAGAAATCAATCGGAGTCGGAGGTGACCGGATAATATTCAAAACCAAAGCTGATAACTCGTACAAAATCTTGGACTGATGATCTTGTTGATGTCTTGTCATCATTTTTTCCTTTTGTTGGTTGTCGAAGATCTTGAAAACAAAGTATTATACTCCAGTTGTAATCCAAGAAAATTTGAAAGGGACAAGATGAATTTTTTTATTTTTATTTTTTTGCTGTAATCGAGGCAAGTGGATAAACTTCTTGGTTGCGATTAGATGTATAAATCCATATGTTTCCTTTTTTGGGCTTTCAATTTTTATTACGTGTAGAGAGCAAGCAACAGAAGAATAGGGTTTGTCTTTTTCTTCTTGAGAGTAAGAAAAGTGGAAAAAAGAAAAAATGCTTATAAATCTAGGAAGAAACTGAGAGGGCATGTACTTTATATTACGCCCCAGTTTGCCTTCATTACATTTTATTTTTTTCTCTTCTATTTTCAATTACACAATCTTTCATAAAATAATATTGCACATAAATCGAAAATTTTTACTTCTTTTTCAACCAATCATTTAAAAAACAAAAAAAAAACTATTCCACAAATTTTTACTTCAAAAAATAGGGGCTACATATGTAGTTGTGGAAAAAAATTCCGCCCACCCCGTCCAGAATGGGGCAAAAAATTCGCTCTGAATAGGTTGGGGGGCAGAGGATACCCCACCTCGTGAAGGAAAAAAAATTTAAAAAAATGTTATTTCTAGACAATTCACTCGATAAAGCTCATTTTGAATTTGTATTTTATTTGCTAATAATAACATAATTCAAAATTTTGAAAATGCAAAAAATATAAAAAATTAAACAAGACAACAAATAAGGTAAAAAGTTGCCCCACCCAATTCAAGGTGGTGTGGGTTTTGGACTGGGCTAGACAACGTGGGGAGGGGGTGCTCCAGCCCGTTGCCATCCCTATACATGTACATGAATTTTCATCAAACAATTTGACAGATTGTCAATTGGTATAATTTTGTTATATTTGATAAAAAAATAACTTCAAACTATTTAATTTAACGTTGTCATCTCATCATCTGTAAAAATTCCTATAAAAATCATCTGTATAAGGAGTTTATTCTATATATAATTTCTATGTGGAGTGTTTATTTCTTGTTTTTTTTGTTTTTTGAAAACCTTTTATGTTGTAATCATGAATGATTTGATGTTTAGGGTGAAAATAACGTGATATTGATCTTTTCAAATAAAAGAAGCGTTGATGATAAAAAAAAAAATGACTTTCTAAGTTTTTAACAAAATTTACAATAGTCATTAACGAATTTTATTATTATGCCTGTGACTATTTTAAAATTGGATAATTATATTCACACCTCCGTTTTTTTTTTTCACCATATTTTAATTCCACTTAAAGTCCTCATTTTCATTAGTTAACACTTCTTGTATCTAATAATAGTTTATATTCAAAAAAATAAAATAAAATCCATTGAAGGACATAAAACAATTTACTTTCCACATCATATTTTTAAAAATAAATAAATACAAAGTTGCAATAAAAAATATTTTCCTCATGTCAAAGTGTGAAAATAGAATATTTTGACAAAAATCATTATTAAAGACAAAATGTGCTAATTAATGAGAAGTTGAATATAAGAACACTATGGAAAAAGGTTAGGAATATAGACACAATAAGGAACAAAAATTAAGAAACATAAATGCACTAAAAATATGGTACAATAAATAAAATTTTTAGCGACAATAAGTGAATATCTCATTTAGAGCCTGTTTGGGAGTGATTTTGAGAATTGATTTTTTGACCGTTAGGAAAAAAAGTAGGGTCCACCGTGAGAGAAGAAGTCAAATATGACGACTGAAATAGTGAAATAACGATCAAAAAATTAAATTTTTTGGTGAAAAAATCGGGCCCAAACAGGCTTTTAGAAATTAGTTCTACCGTGTTTTGTCTAAAAGCTTGTTTACCATCCTCTTGTACTATGGTGACAAACTGACAATGAATTAAAATAGCAATAGAGTATAAATTATATTTTAATCAATAGCTCAAAACAGTAATTTTGGAGTTTGACAGGACCGGAACGACCCTCCTCGTTGAAGATTTTACCGACATTGAGACGGGGACGGGGCAGAGTCGGGATAGGTCAGGTATTTAAAAAAAAAAAAAAAAAAAATCAATCTAGTGCTCCATTTATTTTTTTACTTAATTTTTTAATTATTTAAAAAATTATAAATACAATTTAAATTGTTAAATCGAGAATAAAATATAATCCGTTTGGGATTGCTATCCCTGTTGGCTAAACAATATTCTTCATCGAGTTGGCTACGGGGATATGAAGTGGTGAATTTTAATTCTAAATGAAAACAAAATGACTGTAGGAAGCAAATGGTAAGATATTTGGGTCAAGACGATTTAAAGTGAAATATCAAAAACTTGATCTAGAATTTCTTATACGAAGCCAATGGTTGATATTTGGGTCAAAACCAGTGTTTTATTGACTATAGATCGGCCCGACTGATTCAACCTGAAAAATTGGGAATCGAGGTTAAAATCGGTCAGATTAAATTTATAAAACTCCTAATTAAAAACCCGTCCCAAACCCCCATTAAACTGCTCGATTTTTGGAAAATTCAGGACCTGTTCTAGATTGAACTGGTTCAAATATTAAATTTTTAAATGTATAATTTTTAATTTGTTAAGAATCACCAATTCGATCCCGGTTCAACCTCTTGACTCTTAACGTTTTCTCTTTTTTGGGTGATAGCTAGGTCGATTTTTAAAACATTAGTCAAAACAACTCAAAATGAAATATTGTAAATTTGATCCATCTTATTTTTTCCGCTTGTAATGCCCTTGTGACTGAAAAATAAAAAATAAATTGACTGTACAATTCATCAATTCTTATTATCTTCCTAATGTGTTGATCGAACAACGAGTCATGTGCATATATATATATATATATATATATATATATATATATTTATTTATTTATCATCGAGTCTCCTTCTAAGACTCAATTTCTTTTTCCACATTAACGAGTTATTAAATCCTAATAAGGTCAATTCAATGTTTGAGCTTGTCCCTAAAGCAATGGACAAGCTGCACAAAAATATCCACCCACCCAATTGTAAGTATTATGCTCTAGGTCCAATTAACTTTGGACATAAATACTTTTATATATAATTAATGCAATTAAATGACAGATCTATTATTTAATTAATAGACAATTAAATAAGTAATAAAGTCCGTAGATTCAAATCTTGGTAATTTGTTAATCACAAGAAGTTGTGATTGTGAGATACAAATTACATCTGATTGAATCTTAAATCGTCCGTGGTCGTAAGTAATAACGAAATACGGATATCGTTGTTACGAATAGACCATCATGTGTGGCATTTCTTACTTGTGAAGTAAGTAGCTGATTTCACAAGTTAAAGATGGTGACACTTAAATGAACACGTGGATGTTTTTGTTATAGAACAAAACATTGGAGACCCGTCGAGAGATTCCACATGGATAACTATCTGAGTATCAGTGGTTAATCTCTAACGTTCGGTAGTGGAATTGGTCCTTTGACTTGAGGTCGTCATAGTACCTTATATGAGGACAGTCATACTTTGGCGGTGTTGGATGTTGCTCTGAAAAGGGCCGCTAATACGATATCGTTCGGGTACGTCAAGAATTGTATGAAGGTTGTGATTGATCAATAAAGAATTCGTCACTCTTAGATGGTAGGAGATTACGATCTGCGTTTCATTCAATTAAGTCGATGATGAAATCCTTGGCCAAGGTGTACCCATAAGTCGAAAATGAGTTTTCGACTTATATTGACTTAATAGTGAAGTGAAAGATATGATCGATGATTGAGATTGACACAATTCCATCTCTTGTAATTGATCGGATCATATCGATGAAGGGATTATAGTTTCATGGTAAACGAACGAATTTGGTTTTGTCATACCACGTGACATTTCCCGTCACATGTATTACCCTGACACATTACTAGATGTCAATCAGAGACGGCGAGTGTGAATTGACGATAAATTAAAAGGGTATTTTAATTTATCAATTTTGATTAGAGCAAAATAATATTTCACGTCGTTAGCCATCGTGGTCTGAAACCTAATGGGTCGCACACGAAAGAGAATTGAAAGATTGCAAATTGCCAATTGGTTAATTTAACAATCGTTGGATAAATTAATTAATTGGATTTGTTATTTATATTTTCGAATTAATTAATTGGATTAATTAATTCACGGATCGGGTTTAATTAATTGAATTAATTAAATATTGGATCGGACCGGGCCGAGCCCGTTTGGGTTTATATAAATACATAGTTAGGGTTTGAGGTCCATATGTTTTTCATTATTCTTGTTGGCACAAGAGAAAACCCTAGAAGCTGCAATCTTATTCTCTGTGTGGATTATCGTTGGAGGCTGGATAATTGGACAGCTATGGTGGCGAATCAAGATTGATGGAACGAAAAGAAAAGCAAAAAGATTGCATATCTGAAAAAGTACAATCTTATCACAATTTCTATCTAAACACAGAGGCGATTCTTGATGAGAATCGAAAATTATTTAAAATTTCGCTGTGCATGTATAAGTAGATTCTCAACACCAATTTCATTACTGAAATTCAATTAAATTATTTGTAGATTTGAAGTCAGCAGACGTATTTTAACAACTAATTTGGATGGAAAACTGTCCATAGGAATGAAATGTGCTAATTTTTGAATGGTTGGAATTGAAAGGTTGAGGTTAAAATTGCTACTTCTGGTAAAGATTATGGACGAAATTTGTAAATTACTCTTAAATTATTGTATTTGGTTCAAAATTTTTAGAGCCGTGCTATAGCCCGGTTTCTCCGGGCAGGTTGCCTGTCGGCCCTGTTTGAGTAGAATTATTCAAATTTTTATATTCCCATATAATGACTACTAATTTAAGCGTGCAAGCGACAAGTGTTGTTGGGAAAGCAATTAATGGATTGGACAAGCTTTGGGCCCTGATGTCAGGGGGATTATCTACTTCAGACATTGACAGCAACAAATTGGAATGGTTCAAACTTAAGCCACGTCTGATGTTCAATAAAATAATTTTTTCGGGTTGTTTGAGCCCATTTTTCTAGAAAACTGTATTTTTAAATAGGGTTATGATGGAAAATGTGTGTTTAAAAAATAAAAAATAAAAATTTTAAATTTATATGTAATATTATTTTATTAAAAAATATTTTGTTGAAATGATATCAAATTACTTTTCAAAAATATATTTTGATGAAAAAATAGGGCACAAACAAGAGCTTAATCTCATTTTTAAAAATAGATTATCATAATAAAATATTTTACACGTGAATTCAATTTTTTTTTCAAATACATGTTTTT